AATCTCGTGCGTGGGAAATTAACGTCTCCTACCCCTAACCCTGCAGGAGACGGGGCCTACGGTTTATTCGTCCTTATCCAAGAAGACTAGAATATCTATCCATTTCTTGTTATTAGAGAAAGGTAGCAAATTCTCCTCAGTTATTTTAAGACCCTGAGTGTTGGTCCAGCCGGGGCTTGAACCCTCGACCTCCTTCACAACAGTCCGGCGCTTGTACTTTACCTCTAAGAAATACTAAAAAAATGTAAGCAATTTTTTCAATAAATTTAAAATGAACCACTCTTCCTTTAGCACCTGAGCAGTCTGGAGAAAATCCAGTGCTAGGACCTGGAGAATACAGCTTTCCATTCCAGTTTCACATGCCAGGTGATAACCTGCCAACATCAGTTGAAGGAAACTTTGGTCATGTGCGATACTGGCTGAAGGCTTTCATTGATCGTCCATGGAGATTTGACATTACAACAAAATCAGTGTTCACAGTTATTGAACGTGTTGACATAAATCTAACACCAGGCTTATTGGTAAGTGTTAACTCACAATAAAATGGCTAATAGATATTTTACCATCTTGAATCTCAGTCTATTGTCTGCTATAAAACTGGTATTTCCTTTTAACCAAAGCCCGTCAACCCCTCAGAACATCTAATTTTTCCACACAGTATCACTGCTGAATCAAACTTAAAAGTCATGGGATTAAAGAAAATGATCACCAAGTAAAGACGCTCTTAATAAATTGTCAAACAAATTCTCCTTGTCGTTGCCCTTGCATTTGTGTAGAGAACAGTATGGAGAATATGCATATTGATGTTTAAGGGCGTAGGGTTAGGTAATGCAGGAGGAGGATAATGGTGTATCCTGTAAATTGCCAAGGGAATATTTTTAACATGTATGAATAGAAAATAGATTTAAGGTCATCAAAATTGAGCCTGAGAATTCTGCTTTGAGGCAGGAGAACTTTCTAGTCTTCCATGCTTAATTGGTTTCCTGCTTTGCACTTCTGATTAATATGTATAACAATGTTTAACAATTATTCACTGAGGTAAATATCCAGAAGTTCACTTACACTAAGGTGAATGATTGTCCTAGAACACTCCAAAAATTAGTCTATTTCTGTGAATTTAAAGAGCAAATTGTCAGACATTTTACACTCGATGTGTGATTTTGGCTCTTCGGCAGCTTGAGGATGAATAGGACTTGCTAATCACCTCTGAACTAGCCCACAGTGCATGTCAAAAGCATTCTTCACTTCTGTGTTATATGCTACTGAGTGATATTTAACTTTGTCATTAAAATGCCTTTTGAGTACAAAAAAAGACAACTGTCAGTCTTAACAATAACTTGAATAACCAGTAATTTAATTTTGAATGGGATTATAATATTGTAAATTTCAATGCTTTATCTTCTCAATTAGCAACCTTGTCAAGTTGAAAAAGAACAACAATACGGATTTGCTTGCTTCTCTGGTCCTCTTAGTGCGACTGTTCAGACAGACAGAGGAGGTTATTGTCCAGGGGAATCCATTGCATTTTCAGCATTTATTAACAACCAATCAGGCTGCAGACTCAATGGTGCAGAGATTGTTCTGCATCAAATTTCAGTTTACACAATCAAGAGTGGTAAGTACGATTAAAAGTAGAACAGCCAGGTGAGGTTAGTTGAAATAGAGTGCGTAAAGTGAAGTAGCCTAATGTTGCAAGTCTTAAAATAGCCTGCAGCTGCTGGAATATTCTTCTCAGTTGTGGAAGGATGAAAATGAAAAAAACTAAGAAATCAATGTTGCTACCCTCTTTTCATGGTAGCACAGTCCTACGTATTATATACTAAAGAAAAAAGAAAATCTTGAATTGCAGTAAACTGTGTCTTCAATTTGTTTTATCCCATTTCTCTGGGAGGAGAGGGGATGGAGGGGGAGGGGGGGGAGTGGGAGTCTTAAACCAATTTGGACTTATGAGTGAGGACAGATGGCAAGCCACACCTTGTCCTCATGGGAAGGGGTTGGCCGCTATGGGTCTAGTGGCTCCATCCTGGGAAAAGAACTTTTTGAACAGCTTGTTGTCAGAAGAAAAAAAAATAAAAAGTACAATATTCTAACTAACTTTCTTAGTTTATAATGTAACCAAACATAATTGTAACTACCCTACAATCTCATGTATTTCATTTGTGACAGCTGAGGAAAATGAAAATCCGGAAGAGCAGTATTTAGTATTTTTTAATAAGTACTTGTTATCTATTAAAAAAGTTAATTTTGATAAATTTCTTTCATTTTTCCAGGTTTGACGTCAGGTAAAATATCAGCAAAACGTGCAATTAAAACTGTGGCTTCACAAAAAAGAGAGGAGATTAGAGGTGTTGGAGATCATCATCTGGAGATGTTGCCTCTAAGAATTCCCTCCCTCCCCCCCACAATGTCCAGTTGTAGCTGTATTAAGATATCATATGAAGCAAAGGTAATGTTATA